TATAGTGTGAAAATAGATTTTACACCAAAATGACTCCCATAAATGACAGTCGTTAGAATGACTTTTACGGAGAAAGGTCAGATATCTCCGTAAGCTGGTAGCAGTGTGTCACACAGCCACAACCAGAGTTTCCCTGGTATAACAAAGTAAGGAACTCTACGTGAAATTTTGATATGAGGATCTAACAACAGAATTATGGGAAATGAAAACAAATAAAAAATGATACCTCTTCAAAATATAGTTGACCTCGTAGGAAATATGCCAGAGTGTCCCCTCTTCTTATTCTTTCCTTCAAGAGCTGCAATGCCTTCTCCACCAAATTAGCATGGCTGTAGTGATCTGATTTTAAAAAGGTAAAGAATTCCATTAATATACGAGTTTTTACGCTTGAAGTAATGAATTATGTAAAATTCACCTAACATTATTCATGCTAGTTTCCTTCCTAATTTTCATTCCTGAAATCAGCCTCCTTAGCTCAAGGAAAAAGTATTGTCTGAGAAAAAGCATCATCACAGTACCTAACACTGTGCCCTGTATAATAAGGAAATGTTTGTTGACTGGCTCTCACACTAAGCCTGTTCACAGACAGGTGGGGCCCTAGCAATGCAGTCTATGTACATGCATTGGTTTGTCTTTGGGCAAAGCTGTCTTGTGGGCAAGTTAAATTCTTAATTTGAGACTTAATTAGTACTACTCTAACCAAATGAGCTAACCATCCCAAATATAATTTTTTAAAAATCTGTAGAAAAAAAAAGGTAACTTTAAATGACAATTTCAAGTAAAGCATGGCATTGCTCTCTTTAATAGAAGTGACATCTGGCTTCTCTTTTCTAGAAGCAAACCCTTAAGTCCTGAGAATAAAATCAAGATCAGGATGTCGCGCTTGCTTCGGCAGCACATATACTAAAATTGGAACGATACAGACAAGATTAGCATGGCCCCTGTGCAAGGATCTCTCTCTCTCTCTCACACACACACACACGCACACAAAGATCAGGATGTAATTGTAAGACTTCTCCACTGAGGATTTGCTATCAGATAAAGTAAGTGGCAATTTCACAGATTCTTGCAAGAAAGCTAGAAAGGACTGTAAAATTAACCACTTCCTTGAAATCAATAAGACAAACATTTTTTGTCTCATTTGCTCTAGCATACATAATGAATTTTAGTGAAAATATTTTCCAAGGGAAGATTAAATGTCAGAATTTGTACCAGTCTTTTCCTTTCTCCATTGGAGGAATTTTTGGCTCTTAGCAGCACACTGGGATATAGAGGCATAAAAGGGGTTCTTGGGCAACTTTTCACTGGTCAACTTCATCCTGTTTCCACAATGTGTATTCTGTAAGCAAGAATAAAAAATAAGGTGGTAGTAATTTCTTCCTCCAGTACAGTGCAAAAGGGACTTTATCCCCGCTTGGCACTCATTATGAAAAGCATCCTCCCCTCATTGCCTAGGGACAAGACACCAAACCACCAGCTCCAGGCTGTGAATATTCTTTCCTAGCAAACCAGGACCCTCCATAGCAACATTTCCTGTCTGTTCCCTCTGCACAGGATTAACCACGAGACCTCTTTGTATGTCCTGTCTGGCTACGAGTTCACACATTGCAATGGGTCATGTCACCACCACAACTGCTGCCATTTAGTGGGAACTGGTGACACTACTTGTAGATACAGTTCTTGTGCACTGGTGCCTTCTTGTGGTGTGTAAGAGAAGTTCATCAGACTCAAATGAAAGCATTTGTCTGTTTTACCTGGGAATACACTTTATTTTAGCTGTGGTGTTCAGTTTTATCTTCCCATCTGTATTGGACTGCCATGTTATAACATGGATCACAGCTGAATGGTAAATCAGAGACTTCATATAAAATGTAGAGGCCACCTCATTTGGGATGAAGGAGTCCAGGCTGGCCTAGGCCGAGGGTAGTGAGACTCAGTTGTTGCTATGCTTTTTTTGTTTACTCCTTGGCATTCTACAGCTATAGCTTCCTTTCACCAATCAGAAACAAGCTTGCAGTAAAGGTTCCAGATTGGTGGTCAAGAGAAGGACTAAAGAGACCCATAGTATGATTGGACAGCTGCATGTATATAATTACATGATACTATTTTAGACAATAGATTGCTTCATTAAATGAGAATGAAATGCAGAAAAGGGAGATAAATTCAGTATATTAGGGAAAAAAGATCACTGAACTATCTTTGTGATTTTGGAATAGTCATTTAATCTTTTTAAGAGTCAATTTCCTCATCTGTAGTTTGGACTACAAGTAGTTTGAACTAAAAAAATTTTTAGG